AACGATTCCCTCCATATACTTACATACATACATACATATATACATACATACATATTTGTATACATATTTATGTATGTATATAGTGTTGAATACAGGAGAGAATTTACAAAATGACAAAAAAAGTGTGATTTATTGTGGAATACCAGTTACCGACATATGTATCATATATAATTTTGTACTCTGAACTTTATACTAAGTTTGCCACGAGATTTGTAATACCCAAAAAGAAACGTCGGACGCTCTATAAGGTATATACAAGTTCTAATACAAAGAAATCTATTGTTTTTCCAGTAGATGCTTTTAGTAATATGTATCTCGCGTGCGATCCATTTACGCTATAAAGTGAGATTTCGTAAAAAAAAAAAAATGTGCGCAGACAGTTTTGCGATTGCTTGATACAGAATTTTTTTGAATACGCGTAAAAGAGCTGGTGACCATTTTCAAAGATCATATACGTCATATTTATTTTTTTTCTGCGATAACGACGAAAACGCAAGCCAAGCGGCTGTTAACCTGAATAATGTTTATGGTTCTGATACTGTAATGGTGATCGCGTGCAATTTTGGTCTCGTCGATTCCATTCGGTAATTTTGATATCAAAAATGCACCACGCTCTGTTAGACCAGTTGTCTAAAATATCGATAAACTAATGCATCCACCTTATAGTGCGAACCTGACACCAAGTGATTACTAATTATATCTGTCTACGACGAGTGATTTTGCTGGTGAAAAGTTCGTATTAAGCGAAGCTTGCGAAAACCAAATGTCCTAGGTAATTGACAATAGGGGCGTGAGTTTCTATGACATTGAATATTCTATGATATTGAATTCTAAATCGGATCGTTTGCGCTGTGCTAAATACAATCTTCAATTTATGACGTTATATCCACTTGTGGGTTTAAAAAATATCGATTTTTTATTGTGTACACATATCTAATGTAAATATATTTGGGAATATTTTCTAAAAAATTGAAGCGGATCCGACAATTAGTTTCGGAGATATGCGCGTTTTTGTAAACATTTTTTAACGTATTGTAATGGGTTGATAAAATTTTAAACGCGTTTTTTTCGAAACGTAGTTTTCAGAGTCGGTGAGGAAAATTTCTTCAAAATAGCTCTTAAAATTTGCACAAGACTTTATTAGATATATGTATTTGTCAGGTAATGATCAAGGAATCATATTTCTTATAATAATTTCGATTTTGAAAGTCACTCTGAAGTGTATTGTAAATTTAAAATATTTATTAATTTTTTTTTGGAAAACTCGCAAGTCCGTCGACCATTACATGTATTAATCTATTGTAATAATCAAGTTTTTGATTTTGGAATTTGAGATATTTTTAAGTGGTCAAATTTTCTACATAGGCTAATAGCTTTTTTCGGAGGCTCTCCCGGAATTTTAGCTAACATCTCTTCTTCTTCCTCATATGAAATTTCAATTTTTAATTTGTTTACATGGCATATTTCATTTGCACTCAAATTACTTTGCCCTTTGGGTGCGCGCAGATAATATTACTGAAAAATCACAAAATTTATGAAATTCAAATTTTCGATAATTGCGCGACTTTTGCAGGTGAAATGCGTAAATTGCATTTTCCGTCGATGTGAAATTAAATTAAAAACTTTATCGCGTTTTTATTTATTACGCGCAATTTTTTCTTTCTTAATTTTCGCTCTTTTTTTTACCTTTTCGCACATCACACTGTCAATTAACAAGTAGGCTGTCGGTACAAAACGCACTTATGTGTATACACACGAAGTGAGTACAACATTTTGTGCGCGGAGGCAGGGTTGGTGAGAAGCAATCGTATTATGCCTAAATACTTTTGTGCCGGTCGACTGAATGAAGGGCCGCAGCAGGCAAATGCTGCGAAACGCAATTACGTGAGCAACCATGGGTGGCTGTGTGCGTGCGTGTGAGTGCGTATTCGGGTGCGAGGCAAGCATATGGTGTGCGCATGTGTGTGTGTATATGCGTATCGTTGGGCTTTTTGGAGACCCTGGGTTTTATTCGTGTACTACAGCGCAGCCTACACTCGCTTTTTATGCTTTTATGTATGAATGTGTCTGTATGCATTTATGTGTGTGTGTGTGTGTTCATGTATTAGTGCCTTCGTAAGTGGTAACACGGACGCATTGCCTGTGCTACAGTAACGGCGCCGTAACAAAATTGCCGATACAATTAAGGCGCATTTAAGCCTGTCTGCTGGGAGGCAGCAAGCAGCATGCAACATTTTTATCCCGGCAGCAACCGCTCCGATATCGGAGCGCAAACGAAATGCGTGTTGATTGCTATGTATACGGTGGGAGGGGGAGGCAGGCAGGCATGCGATCGCTGTTGCAAAGCGAAATGCTGAAAGTGGCAGCATTTTCCAGGTGTTAATCTGATTATTGCCTTGCATCATTTTTATTTTCGCATTTCAACGCAACGCAAAGCAACAGTCCGACGCTGAAAGTCTCGTTACAACATTCTTTCAGCTATGTAAGCATGTGCGTGTGTGTTCAACGTCTGACAGCTTACTTTAACCGTTAGCAAGCGCATGTAAGCGTGTGTGTAGCGCCTGAAGTGTATCACTAGTATGCCACTTTGGTGGCCCAACAGTGTCTACTTACAGAGGAAGCCTTACAGCTGCGCCGCACACACACTCATACAGCGTTGCATGCAACATGTGCAAGGCACAAGAAAATCTGACAAGCCGTACACGCTCAGCGAAGCGCTCACAATATCATCAGCCGCAATTTTGTAGTTTTCCCCCCACTGCCTCAAACAACAACAACAACCACCACCAACAACAGCCACAACACCATAGTTTCTGTTGTCAGGCGCCTACAGCATCAACGCATTACAGGCGTGAAGTCGCCGCAGCGTCTGTGCGTTCTGAAGTCCAGCTCATACTCGCTTTGACGACTTGCTATTTTTGTTGTTTTTCTTGCTGTTGCTACCAATTTTTCGCAATATTGCGGGGTATGTCAGTGTAGCGTGTACGATTTTCAATTAGATTACGTATACGCCCGGTTGGCTGGCTGGCTGGCTGGCTGGCTGGCCAGTTGCATGATGCTTCTCACCACTCTCTCTTTCCTTTCTCTTCTTGTTGGACAGTTGCAATTGCTGCGCCACAACATCAAGCGGTGTCGGCCATATAACTTTGTTATCGTGCAATTAATTTGCCGATTTTTAATTTTGTACAGTTGTTGTTGCTGTTGCTGGTGCTGCTGTTGTTGTTGTTGCGCGTAATTTTTATGTCCGACAAGTCATGACGGGCAACAGTGTAAACAAGCAGGAGCAACCAAAATCATTGCTCTACAGGCAAGCAGAGATACAGACATAAATATGTGAGGGTGGTTTGATGAATCTGTGGTTTTTTGGTATGCTTCTCTGGCACTTAGTGCATTCCTAAAGTTGAAAAATCGGTTTGAAGTCTAATGCTGAAAAGTTCCTCAAAGCAAATCATCCCTGCACCTGTAAGTGCCAATGCGCAAAATTCCAGAATGTAAAAGTCTAACCTAATGCATAGTTGGACGGAGAGCTCGTTAAAAAAAACTCTCTCCCCTAGCCCCTTATAGCCAGCTTCCCAAAGCCTTAGAACCCTGTGGTCTATAATATACGAATACTTTGGTTGGTTCCGTTAAGTAAGTCTGGACTAAAGTTAATATTCCAAATTGCAATCCTAAATTAGCAATAGCACAATGAGAAAAGCTGTGACAAAAAAATCAATTCAATTGCATTTTAAATATGCATACTCCGCTCAATGAAATCCATAAATGGGACTAGAACTTAGAGTAGAAATCGTAAGGTTCAACCTCTGTAAAGCAAAATCGAAATGAAGACTGTGATTTATAGTGTAATCTCAGTGAAATATTTAGAAAATATTATTTCAATCTTTTCAAAAAAAGCCGTTTCTTGCGTTTTGCGTTCAAATAACTCAGATCTGAACTTTTAATTTAACAACAATTTCTTGAAACCTGGGCATACAATAAACATTTTTACTACCAAATTAATTGAGGTTTCGACAATGAAGTTAGATCACTTAGGTACTACAATAGTTGTCAAACAAAATAGGACAAAATATATCGAAAGCTTGTTTTTAACTGAAAGCCGTAACGATCCCATTTGGTGGTTTGGAGTTGAAATTGGTGAATAAAAGGGAAAGTGGACCTTGATTTGGAAATAAGTTTGGTCTTATACTTGAGATTTTCAAAAAAGTGGATTAAGTGGACTAAGTCTAAGTAATCCTTATATAAATAAAACGTATTGCTTATGGCTGCTAATATAAGTAGAGGTGGTATCCTGGTAAGCGCCTATTTCACCAGCTTCGAACAGCAGGAAATTTCATAATTTGAATTCGTTAAACTAAGTTCGTCCCAAGCTTTGTCAACTTAAGTTCAGTTGAACAAAATTTCTTGGTTTGCGTTAATTGGATGCTTTCAAAATGCTATACTTGAAGCTTGGAAGTATAGAAGGTGGATCTCTGCAGTTTTCTGAAACATTTGTGTTTTTGACCCATACATTTCTTTCCCATTTTCCAGTCCTTTAGATGCAGTATTTCTTATATTTATTTTATGCTTAAAAATGTCAAAAAACTCACTAGCTTCCCTAACTACCCGCGTTTATTCCTGTGATTACAAACACATCAATGTAAGTGCTAACGCTGCCACTTTTAATCATGTGCGAAAATAACTGTACTGCTACAGCAATTTCGCCGACTAATACAACGAGTACAGCTACATGACATTAATTCAATTTCCTTTTAATGAACAATAAAAAAAACCGGTAATTTTTACCGAAGCCATATACTTATGCAGCGCAGAGATCGAGCTACATACATACGCATGCATGTGGATTGGGTATTGTTAATTTTGCCTGCGAGTAATTTAATTTGCTTTTTATCATCTCAACTGCGACATGCGCGTCTTTTCATTTAAATTTTTCGTATTTAATATTCTTAAATAATTTTCATTTTTATTTTGCGCTTTAATTTCTTTTACTTTAATGTACTTACCATTTTGCATGGCAACACTCTTGTCCTCCACTCGGCTGACATAGCAGCAGAGTTCATCCTGCCGTTCGGCATTCTCGATCAGTTCCGCTTCGACTGAGAAGCCCCACATTTGTTCGAGTGTGGTGCGATGTAATTCCACTTGATAGAGTATCTTCATGCAGACCTCGACGAATTCGTGATTATGCAACTGTGCGCCGGAAAAAGCAGAAGAGAAAGAAATGTGAAATTAATATATAAATTAGTTGAGTCGTTTGTTTCAGTGATGGCGCGTAAATATATTAACAATGAAGATATAAAATAAATTAACTTAATTTAGTTTAAATATTTCTGTGACAATATAAATTAATTTTAAAAAACTTAATTTTTTCAATAGATCCCCACATGTTATTCGTTTTTTAACTTCCAACAAGGTGTGCGACTTCGTTCAAATAATGCGCCGAAATGTAGACTAGGTGATCATTATTTTCAATATTGTTACTAAAACTTTTCCAGAAATTGAAAATATTTTAGATAGACGGGAAAACGGGGGAAAAAATGCTAATAAAACAGAGGAACCTTAGGTGGCGTTGTTTCCGAATTTCAGAAAAAAATTTCGATGGTGTATGGTGTAAAAATTATATTCTTTTTTTATATATATGTGAATTTTTACCGCTACTAATAAATTTGTTTTAAATGTATTTATTATTTGAAGCCCTAAGTGAGTGCAATATGAACAAATATTAATGACTTAGTGTAGTTGGAAAGCTAAAATATCTTTGGAAAGCCAAAATATTGCCGATAACTTCACCGAGATATCATGATGATTGCCTAAATATAAGAAATGGTACTTTAGTATCGGAGAACGTTACTCGGAATTAAAACAGGAAAAGCTTGAGGTTTCGAGACCAGGATAAATCTCTACATGAAATAAAGAGGCGATTCGGACATTTAGAGCTTACTTAGGTTTGGAATCCGTCAATTGACGAAACGAAGAAGTGGCTGGATATTATTAAGAACTCCATGGAGATTTTCGAATAATAAAAATTATACTGAGATATTCGATAAACTATAAACTGATCTGTTGAAATATGGTAGCAATAACTGATAACGTTTATGTAACAACTTTAATGCGGAATTTTGTGAAAATTTTGAGAACTTAAGTGTGGTCTCACTAATCCAAAGAAGTGTGATTGCGAAATTTATTCATATAAGTATCTTAAAAGCATCCTAAACAGTGAGTAAACACCCACTATGAAACGCAACTAAATAAAAATACGATGTGCCGGTATATGAGGGTTTAGATAAAGTTCTCTAAATAAACGCTTTATTAGCCAGGTCGTTATTTTTTAAGGTACAAACTATCGAAATATAAACATTTTTTTTTTTCAAATTTTACATTAAGTTAGTCCCTCAATTACTCAACGTTAGTTATGTACGAATATGGCCTATAACAGAGATAAAGGAAATTACTATTCCTTTAAGCATAGAGGTAGGAATGTTGCTTCCAATGCAAGAGTGTCAAACTGTTTTTGCCTTACCGTTAAAAATTGTTAAATCAGTAATTTTTTGCATATATTTTTCTTACCACATAAGTCATCACCGGTAAATTTCTTTGCATTAACATACGTAGAATAATACATTCTAAATTACACGGTATAACAGAGAATAGAAACAAATAAGCTATAATTTGGATATATAAATATCAGTAAAGAAATGATAAGAGTATAAATGTGTTTGCATAAATAAAATAACTTTGGTTTGCAGTACGTGAAGGCAAACGCAAAATTGCAATAGTGTGCAACACACATACAAACATGTAAAAAATCACATATGTGTATCTATGTATATATATAGAGTACAATAAAGACCAGATAATGTAAACACAGTGTCATTGAACTGACTTTGGCCACAAAACAAATCAGCACTGGAAGCCACATACATATAAATGTGCATGGTACATACACAAGCATATGTACTTGTACATATATGTCTCTGTAATAATGGCAAATTATAGCTGTATATACATAATATAAATAGTATGTTTACATATTTGCTGTTTTTTCGGTATTTCTTTGTTCTTATCTTAAAATTTATGCATTTCTCCGCACTGCTTGCTGCTTGCCCCCTTTGGGCTGATCATTTGACCATGGGTATCTATAGTAATTTGCACATGTATGTGTGTGTATGTGTTGGTGTTGGCCGACGTTTGCCTTCCCCTCCTCATATCTCATTAAATATGATTGATTGCCGGCTAGACACACACACATGCAAAATGCTGAGATGATAATATGGCAATCAGTATGGTAAACAAATAAATATATGCAGATAAGGTAAGCATATTATAGATATGCTGATGAATTTGAATGTGTGCGCATATTGTTTTGTGTGTGTGTGTGCGTGTGTTTCCTAGTGTATGACATTTGCCCTTTGGTTGTACACACCTCAGTCATAACCAGTCACTATCCAAGCGATTTGTGGTAATTGGGTAGACATTTATATTTATATACCGTAATATGTTGCTGGATATGTGTAAGCATTATATATATACGAGTATTGTATATACACATATAAGAAATCATGTTGCATACAGGCAAGTTGAAGGTGCAAATGAGGCAAAAAGTAATTTTACATATGCTATTGGCTATTAGTGGAGCTAATATTATGAAGGTAAAATGCTGTGAATTTTCAAAACCACTAAACATTTTCAGAACTAAGGGGGCACTGAACCGAATTTCATCGGAAAAATATCAAATAATTAATATCATTTTATATAAAAAATTAGTTATTCGCTTTAACTATTAATAGCCGTTTCAAAGCTTCTTTGATGAAAACTGGTGTGTGCCTTCGCTAGGAAGCACCTAGATGTAGGCAACGTTTTTTAATACAATGCTAGTGTGAAGCTTTTAAAATCGATTTATATTTCGATGGATAATACCTTAAAAATATTATTTCTAAGTTTTGAAAAGATCTCACAAATAGTTTTTGAGTTACAGCTTTTTGAATCGTATCCGCTCAGTTTAATCAGCTCCATCAGTTTATATTAAACGCTTTTTTTTTACTTGAATGATTACTCGGAGACAAATGATCCATACATTAACAAAAACGAACAAATTTTCGGGTAAAATTAAACTTTAGCCCCTGCCATTTTGTTGATCATAGGTCATGGTACGGTTAACATCTTCTAGTAGAGAACTTTTGTTTTTAAATTTCAGCTACGTAGCAAACCAGCAACATTGCAGCAGTGGAGGACCTTTTGTTTAACGCTGTCAAAGAACGCGTGTAATCCGAAAAATATTTAATTTTTTAAAAAATTTACTTAATGCTCTTAAAATATCTATCAACATACACTAAAAAATTTTAAAATAATTTATAAAAAAATTTTATTTTTGGATTTCCAACAATAGACTTTTCTTTAGGCTGTCTAACTAGTTGTGCCTCTTAAGATAGAATAAATATTAATATATTTTGTATGATATTAATTATGTGACATCAGATTGTAAAATTATATATAGTAAACCAAATTGCTCTTACAAGTATATGTATCATCGAATACGAATGCTGTGGTATTTTGTTTAAGCACCTTCATTGTATTAAAAATATGTTAAATTGCCTGATATTTATAAATTAATACTTATTGTTGCTCAAACTGCGTATCCCTTTGAACAGAGACAAATAAATTGTTGTGAATGTACAGCGGCCATTGGCAAGTGATTTATTATACCCAAAGTGCTTTTAAAGTAAATGCGGTATGGGTCTAGGCTAATACATGAGCCTGGATGTAGGCAACGTTTTTTATATGAACTAAACATAAGAAAGCTTGGCTAAATTTCGTGTGTTTAGTGGTGAACCGAATTGTATTGTAAGAAATTGCTTACTTTGGACAAACCTTAGGGTAAAGTGACAGTTGATGTATGCATTTTATTATCTTTAAAATTACGTGCTCAATATTTATACATATTTAATGCACTGACAATGACAAACTTTTTTAGTACAAAGACGATAGTACTTTACTCTCATGTAGGTATATATCTATTGAGTCTATTAACCAGTAATTTACAGTTAAATTACTTTTATTATCTTATATCTTTCTGGTAAAAATTTGTTAGCAATTTCAAATGACTATACCTTCATTTGGCACATTTCAACTATTGCTGAAGAAATTGGAAACTCTACATAACTAAATGAAAGTCTATTTGCACATTTATCTATATTTTTTTTTTTTATAAATTTTAAACAATAACCAAAATGTGAAAGCTCGTTTCAGCTTTCAAAAGCTTGTATCATGAAAAAAAGGCCATAAAAGTGTAAAACTGGAAATCGTATGAAATTTCCAATCGATTTCTAGTGTGTCACTAAAAAGTTGCCAATTTAATAACATCAAGCGCACTACATTCTCCTGCCTTTAAAACCAATTATAAACTGTTAAAAGTTTTTTGTACTTCTTGTGAGTTTTAAATATCAAGTAAAAACTTTTTCGATGAAAATAAATGTGTACTTTGTAGTCGGCCAATTAAAGCTTGTTAAGTTTAGCGTTTGAAAGCAAATCCATGAAAGGTACATACGTTGCCAGTGTTTGAAGTTAGTTATAGTGGTATTTATATCTGTATTTGTTTCTATAAAAAAGTTTATATTGGTTGAAATAAGCAGTTTTTGCAAAAAAAGGTGTTACCAAAAACGTTTGGAAAAAATTAAAGATGTTATAATCATATGGAAAGCTATTCTATTAATTAGTGTCTCACATTCAATAGAGTATTTTAGTTTCTTATATCTATCTATCTATCCCAATCACACACGATTTTTACCGTTGAAATATGTGACATAGGTAATCTCTATGTGTCAGGCACTGGAAAGCGAAAAAAAATTTCCAACTGAGAATAAAGACAAGTAGCTATGAAAAGATATACATTGTGTCCTTAATTACTATGCCAAAAATGAGCGCATTCTGTCAATCAGTTTGTTTGAAGAGACTGTTGCAATCAGTCGACCTCAGTAGTGTTTTGCGATTTTTACAATGGAAAAAAATATTGAACAAAGAATTTGCATCAAATTTTGTGTTTTGAACCAAATTTCGAGTGCGAAATCGGTGCGAATGTTAGAAAATACTTATGGTGAATCTATTCAATAGAAAACCCAAGTCTACGACTGGTACAAAGCCTTTAAGGATGGTCGAGAAACCGTCGAAGACATGCCTCGTTTCGGTCGTCCTTC